GAGCATATTGGCGTCAGAAGTGTTCATAGGAATAAATAATATTCACCAGCTCAAAGCCCGTATTCACCAAACAGAATAAAAATGTTGTTCAGTAACTATGCCACGGGCATGTTTTTATTATGTCCCCATACGTTCAGTACATTTTATTTTAACATTACGTGGCTGGAAAAAGAAAATATGCACACTGAGAGCCCTGCACATGCGTTGACCTCAGTTTTATTACAATCAATTGTCTGTAACTTTTACCATTTCGTGTTATATTCATAGTTGACTGTGTAGTCCAATCAGTATACTTAATAACGAAATGAACATTATAGTCACAATTATCAATCGTTTCAACACTTCGGCGCATGTGGCGCGTATCGAACATAGACCACCGCGCCATTTACGAATCAGACGAACTCAAATTTCCTATTCACGAAAATTAATGTAGCTTATTTTCAGCACCCGGCGTGCGTACAGTTTCATATCGTCATTATTCCATCTACGTTGACTTCTCGCGTCACATGATTTTCGCATTTATTCGAGCATGATGTTAAAATGATCAAACTGAGTATTTCATTTTAGAGGTAATCTATTTTGTTGCCAGACTGACAAGCTACTTTCACATGTGATTGACGAGGCGCTGAACCTTGATGACATATGTTTTTTTTCAATTTTGCTTGGCTTTTAGCATTTGACGTGAAAAGGGAAACAATAAAAGCTTTGTTACATGGAATACATATTGACAATAGGGAAGAGTAAAAAACAAATGTTATTATGTATCAATTCCTTCTGATTAAGCAATGCTATTAACTGCTTAACATGTGGACAAACATTTTCAGCGCACAGCTAATTATGAGTTAGTATATTCCAGTAGTATTGAATTCAAGTACATTAATTTGAATGTCTTATTTGAATATTTTTTTGCCAGATCATGTTTTCACTACAGAATATTTTCTAGCGCAAATTAAAATTGATAACCTTACATAAAAGCATTTTTCCAACGAATCCATATTTCATGTTTGTTTCTACTAACATGACCACAATTCTGTACATTGATTTAAAGCGAGGGAGTCGTCACCTGCGCATGCGTCAGATGGCCATAGCGTGTTATTGTTCCCAATTAAGCGTCTACCCATGAACCTTTGCGTTTTAGCGCGTGTTATCGTTGCTTGAGACTCTATTCCCGCGCGTGCACAGGTGACGACCCTCCCGCTTTAATATGCTGGTGTTTTGGGTGCCATATTATGGAGGGTTTAGCGGCATCCGGGAAATGTCGGCTGTTGCACTTATGTTGGCATGGGAAGAACTAGACACAAGTAACAGTGAGAATAAGACATACATTATAGCAAAGAGCAGTGTGGAAATAAAACTTCTATAGTTTGTGGAATATTTATGTTCTCCTCTGATGATGTAACGCTTAGTTTGACAATCATACCAAACTTATGAAAAGATAAGTTGGTGTCGTTATGTCCAGTTTCGTGTTTAGATCTATTTCAGGACACACTGTATCTACTAGGTATTACTAATACGCTAACCATTCAATTAACTATTATTAGTCGTATTTTGACATCTCCACGAAATCAATTATTTACAAGTAGAGATTATAAATATTAGCGGGGCGCTTCGGTTAATAGAGCTTCAAAAACAAACTGCATTTGAGTCGCACACGCGTATGCTAAGTCATGAAATCTCCTTTTAATATCGGGTGATGAAGTATAATTGCAAAAAAGCTCTACAATTTAAGACGAACGAACAAGATTTATCGCAATTTCATTAGCATGAACAGATCAGTGTACATATTGGTTTTCTTGATTTTCTGTTCAATCATTCTCGAATAATATAAGTGCATGGATTAGCAGGTTCAGGCAATCAGACATTTTGCGTGCATTCGTATGGACTTAATCGCTTCGTGACGACTGTTATAGTAAAGTCTATGTATACGGTTCAGATTAATGATCCATTATTACAGTTAATATATACTTTGGGCAATATGGCAAAGATAAGGAATCAGTAATACACTAAAGCTAAAACTAATAAATTTTAAATAACATGTCAGTAATCAGTGAATTTGAACATACAAGCTGCAGATTTGTTTGATTTCTGAGCTGAAATTAATGTAAAAATAAAATGCATGTTACATTAAAGCGCGGTGGTCGTCGCGCAGTGCGTGTTAGAGTTTCATGTAAATAAACACGCATTGTATACGTCGCTACGATCCCATATCGAACAGGACGCGACGCGACGACTGCCGCCCTTTAAAGATTCAAATTCACGCAACATCACTTGAGTTGCAGTGCAACAACACCAAGTAGCTAGAGGCAGTAATCCGCAGGAAAGGGGGAAATAGCAAATAGTTGCCCCTTTTTTTATTTTCTGTAAAATACTCGTATTTGATTAATTGTAACCATGTATGAATTAGCCTTATATTTAAAACTGGTATATTGACGTCGATATGGAATTAATTGTAACCCTGCTTTTTTAAGTTAATACGTTTTCGTTTATTTGAGTTAAATTTACTGACCTGAATTAGCCCTGCTTTTCAAGTTGTTACATTGTCGACGATGTGGAATTCAATTTAGTGTTATTACTAAATTACACGTTGTAATATTTCGGTCTACGGGGAGTTTATTGTAGTATGGGACATGTGCATTGTCATCTATGGAGGGTAATTGTAGTATGAACATGTACATTATCATTGATGGTGGAATTTCATTGCCCAAAACCGTGATAAGTTAGGTAAAATTTTCGCATCAATTTGTGCAAAGTTTTTCATACTTCTAAAACAGTATTGCCATCCCAAACTACACTTATACTCTGTGGCCATGTGGTATAGTCTTAATTTATTTATTTTAAATCGGCCACAGAGATAATATACTACAAATATATCAAGTCATGAGCTACTTGTATGCAGGTAGACGTATTCTTATTGACATTATAAGTTTGACCTTATTATTGGAAATTTAATACATTTAGATTGACAGTGTACGTGATCAAAAATGACTATGATCGACATGTTTATGTAATCTTCTTATTCTTTGGAGAAGTCGACTACATGTTGTCTTCGACTTTATGTCACAGGGTACCACAGACTTAGGAATCGACGGGAGAATGAGGGATCCTATTGACTCTAGTGTTGTATTTTTGTATTCTGAACCAATTTAATTAAATTAAGCTGCTTTTCGTGTTTTTATCAGTTATTTTCTGTTATTGTTCTGCGACAATGTGAATACTTTAGACACGCAATAGCAAATAAGTGTGGTTATCATTATAGCAATGGTCTCGATTCCTACCTCAATTTAACCACTTCAGTGGCCTTCACGCACGACAATTTACATAGATAACGTGGAGGTGTTTATTACATGGTCTTGTATATTTACCGAACCGTACGATTTTGTGTTTTGTTTTGTTTTGTTTTGTTTTGTTTTGTTCTGTTGTGTTGAGTCGCGTTGTGTTTTGTTGTATTGTAAAGTATTGTCGAAATCAAAGTTACGACACTGTGTCGACTTGTGTCGCATGCGCTGTGTTGTATTGTGTATGAAAAGCTTCTCTGATATTCAACTGTAATGTATTACGTGGTGCCGTGTTGTGTCGTGTAGATTTTGCTATAATAAGCTACCTCCCCAAAATATCAATCAACAACACGCTGTTAGTGTCCCCGGGGAGTAGAAATTCATCAGCAACTCTATTCAGATACACTTCACGCTCGTACCTGGGCATTCATCTTTCATATCCATATTCACGACATATTACAGACAGATAATTTCACTCAAATCGGTTTGTCTGCTTTCGAGTTATTCTATAGTGAAATTTCAATTCCATTGGACTGGAAAACATTTGTTAGCTCAAACAGACTAAAGTCAATTATTTCCCTAACATTACCTAAGTACTGTACGTCATCATTTTTAGAAGAAGCCTGCATTTTGATTCTGAATTCCCTGTGGTGCTTATCACTTGAGATAAATTACCTTCCCGAGCGGTTATTGCAAATAAGGATAGTCACCTAAAGCCCCATCCTATCGTGGTTTGCTTCCTTCGTTAAATTTGGGAGGATATTAATATCATGAATCAAAAGGTATGAGGTATTGGTTTGAGTTAAATGTAAATGTTACATCCGTCAAGCACCATTAGATATGCTTATACGAGATTGTCCACTACTATTAGAAACTATTACTCTCACATTTTCTTTTACACATGCGCATTTCAGCATATGTACCAGTATTTGTTGTAAATCTTGTAACACATATTCAATGTCCGATTCTATAAGTAAATACATATTTCGATAGTATCTGACAGTATGTTTATGGAAAAACGTCAAAAATGACAATTGAACAGTAGTCTTTATAATTCATTATTTCAAAATACTTTAATTGAAAAACACAACAAAATGACGCACTGACAATAATGTAAAATGTTCGCAGTTCGTCGCATTCATAGGTATCCTCCAAGGAAAAATGTATGATTCGTTCTCTCAATGTCACCGAACAAAATTCCGATATATTTGCAACATAAACAAATCCATAGGAACCACGTTTAGTGCTATAAATCACAGTAATAACATGATATAAAAATATAATGTATCAACCACCGCCTATAATAAATGTTTGCATTTTACAAATATAATCGGTTAATCGCAGGGCTATTCATGAAAATCATCAGAATTACATTGATTGCATAGAATTCTTTTGACTTAAGTTATATATTGGTCGTCACCAAGTCGTGTTCAAAAGCTACACAGTATTGTTCGGATAATCGAATATCGTTTGAATATTGTAATCTGTTCATGCACATGATTTTTGAATAAACATATGGGTCACTTGGTATGACGGCAAATGTTATTAAACACTACACTCCAAATTATTGAAAATGCGTAATATGCATATTTTGTCAAGTTTACTAAAGTCATACAATTTCGTAGTATTATATATTGATCAATTTGCATATTACACTAGAACTGCCTACACTAATTTGAACAAAATTGTGTTTTAATAACTCATTCTTTCCTTTATTATTCGCAGGGGTTTCAGTAATATGTAGCATTCTGACATTGACCGTGATCGCCGGGGATCGTTACTTTGCAATCCTCCACCCACTGCGTGCACGAATCACCGAACGAAATACCGGCATCGTGATCGCAGCGGTCTGGACAATCTCGATTCTAATCAACATACCGATAACAATCCACTTGACTTACGAAGAGCATACCTGGGACGATGGCGTGTTCCAGACCTTCTGCTACGAGGATTGGGAATTCACGCCAGCGGAGGGATGGTACACACTCAGCTTGTTTGTTGTAGCGTACCTGGTACCGCTGGGAATAATGATGTTTGCATATCTGTCTATTGGAAGGAGGCTGTGGATTACAAGAGCTCCCGGAGAACGAATCGAATCAACAGTTGCGACCCAAGATAAAATGAAACGCAAGGTTGGAACGCTATGTACTCAGTTACATCACAATTCACAGACACAATTCAGACATGTCTATCCCTGAGAACCATTTTTTGATCTATTCGGGCCATAATATAAAATACACAGTTAGTGAAATTAGTCGCAGGTACATTCTTCCATTGATATTACGCACGTTACATTTTATTGTGAAGGTTCACTAATCTAAACTTCTCTATTTTTCGTTTATTTAGGTTATTCGAATGTTGATTGTTGTTGTCGTCACATTTGCCATATGTTGGTTGCCATACCAACTATTTATGGTATGTATAGATTGGGGGCCTAACCTCGGGGTGAGTACAATTTCATTCATAATATTGCTCTTTCTAAAACACAAAAAATTAAAAAAGCTGAGTTCACGACACGTGCTAATAATATATATACATACACACATGTAAGCAAACGATTCAAGCACTTCACAAACAATGTAGACTCCATAAAAAGGGCATTATCTCAAGATGTTGTTAGTTTTACCCAATATATCTCGAATTATTATTAATAATTGTGATTTTTGATTTACGGGTATGTAAAACGAAATTACATTAACGGATGTAACTGATAACTTTTCCAATGAAATCCTTAGCACCCCGTCGGATAATTCTGGTAGTGATTTCTCAATCACAAAAGTGTAAACAAACGATAATCGGTGTATGTGAACGGCGATCTGTTATGCAAATGCAGAACAACACTTCTGAAAACAATCATTTGTATTTCCTTCGCAGGTCCCCGTACCGATAAAGAAAGATATCTTCTTCTACACCTTGTGGCTTGGATACGCCAACTCTGCGCTGAACCCATTGATATACTGCGGCTTTAATGAAAACTTTAGGCGTGGTTTCATTCAAGTGTTCTCTTGTCGTTGCTGGCGAAAGCGGAGAGGTCTCCGCCCAGTGAAGTCTTCGTACAACAGTCATACCGATGGTACTGTCTTAGAATCAGTCGCCTAGTAACAGTCTCATCTCCCGACTCCTAACGAGTATGACTGAGTTGTTCAATCTAAATATTATGAGGAGAAAGCATGAGGTATGGGAATATTTTCTTTTGAATTTAGTGCATCAAAGCACCGGTTCTGAACATCGATTGTTATATGGAATGCCTGTGTACTTTTCCACAGTTTACGCTGATACAAGTATTCATACTTAATCAAAATAATATTATATACGTTTAACAAGTTAACTAATTGTTATAGCTTGTTTTATCGAATAACTATTTATTGCTTTAGACTTTTAAATTTTCTTTTTTTCTTCAATTATATGTATATATCCGAAGTATTTTACATTAAGACGCCAATTAAACGGTGTTGTCAAAAACAATTGTTTTCAACGACATGAACTGTTAATAATCATTGAATTGTTCCTTGCCGCCTTGGCAAACTTGCACGATTTCCCAACAGTTGTAGTGGATTTGATCATTGGACTAATTATTATTATTAAAATTCAGTATTGTATGAACTTATTATTGAATTTTACTATCATCGAAGTTATCAAATTATCATTGTTTTTAGTAGTCAACTTTTTATGACAATAATCTAGTGTTTTATTACTGTATTTAGTAAAATATTATGACATTAGTTTTTTTTCTGTTATATAGTCACGGGAATACATAGTGATGATCACTTATACTAATATTACAAATATGTGTTTCATACTTCATGTTCTATACTGATTGTCTGACATATCTGTAATTACATATGTGTTGATATTGGTAATAATTTGTTCTCATTTGTGCATTTTTATTCATAACAATTTAACGAAAACTATTTTGAGGCGAACGTAAATAGCTTATAGTTATATGTAAAACTAAAATTAGACCCCTTTGAACTGAATATATTACTCTAACACATACAGTTCAGTACTCCCAGGAATTGTGAGTGGTTCATTGATAGTGGTCAGACCATATTACTAATTTTGGTGTCAAATCATTTAAAATTGTCTCAGACATGTATGTAATATTTATTATACAGTGTAGAATTAAGCGCACACAATCGTACTTTCACGTCGATTATGATTATTCAAATATGCTTTATTCAAACAAGATAAACATGTTACCATGAAAACATGGATGATATTTTCTGATTTCCAAATTCAGATGTACACTTTTGTATTTTCCAAAAAAAGTGGTGATTGATTATATATGAATTGTTAAAATAATTACAACTTTTGCAGAATCAGTTCGTTCTTCGACAGTGTTGTTGAATTTAATATATAGTTATTTTTGATGTCAGTAATTTACTGTATACGTGAAGCTTTATATTAAATATTGATGTACAGTTTCTGATTGTGCTGTTATTAGTAAGAGAGTTGTCTTCAACTATTTTGTCCAGAAGGTACAATCATGAAAGTAAGCTGCTAAAAATTGTATTACTTCATTCGCAATATGTAGAAAAGCAGGCGGTTAATGAGTCGTTAAGTTCACATTATAGTGTACTACCAGCCGCTGTCAATTTGAGAGCGGTTTTTATTAATTAATTAAATAATTCATTCATTATGCCATTCATTATGCGATTTCGTCATATGCTGCGATCTGTTGAAAGTGAGCCTCCAAGACCCGTTGGATTCTAATATGAGGACATCGGTCTAACATGCAAATCAATCATATTGACACGTACACCCATTCACGCCTCACATACAAACACGCACAAATGAGCGTACATGGTAAAATACTACTTTGCTATCAATATATGACATCGAAAACAAACATGCTGCACAACTGGCGATAAAACATTACTAGTGATACCTAATGCTAACATTTGGAAATACTTTATGTATTCTATAATGATTGCTGTGTGAAGTATTGTAATGTCCAATATTTATTTGTTTGATTGTATTTAGTGCCAAACAAAGCCTATAACACAGCTGAAACAGCTGCCCCTGTTAACTACAAACACACATGCAGTCTATCGCATCGTCTACATGTCATACCCGTAGACAGCCAGCCATGATGTTAATATGTCGTAGTTTTTTTTTATAATAATTACTGGGAATTATCTAGATGAAGTATATGGCGCTGATGATAAACAGGTTGTTTCAAAAGCATTTTCTATTGAGCATGGTATTTACATTTGGGTGGGTGGACTTATTTGATTATATTATTTCTTAAGGAAAGGAACTTTGTTTTCATTGACAAGGGTAGACGTATCATTACTCACCATGGAAACACTTCACTTTTAATTTAAGCGGGGATTTGTATTAAAAAGCTTTTGTAGCAATTATTTTCGTATATTTTTATTTCTGTAATACTGAGGTGAAATGACTATTGTAGTACAAACTGAACATCCACAGAGTCCGCGTATTTTTAGCTAGGTACATCGACATAACCTACACATGTACAGATGAAGTAATAATTTTGGTATCTGCAGTTATTGTGGTGTGCATTTACATTAGCATATGATTACATCACCTCATTCTGTGCTAATTAATGTTCATTCTATGTCAAATTAGAATATATATTGAGATGAACGTATATTTAATTGTAATTTAACATAAACGTTCATATAAACAGTTTTCAAACACCTATTCATAGGAAGCTATTGTACATTTTCAGTAAAGCTAAAGAATTAGAAATTTTAGCACGCCTAAGCGATCGCAAATAGTGAAATGAGAGTGTTGCTTCTATATTACAGGAATCGTGTAACAGCTTGGCATTGTTGTAGACAAATAGACAGACATTCACACGTCAACCGACTGATAACAATATCTCGGTCATGCGCTAAATTATGCTTCATATTGGGGTCATTTCACAATGTCTCTGGGTAAGGTACATTTAGGCCAAGATTTGTGGTGGTATAATAATTGAAAAGCGGATGTATGAGAAAGTATGTTTCCATGTGTGAGTTGGGGGGGGGGGTAAACATGTTTTATTTGATTATGGTCGTCAAGTGTGCAAGTTCATGTGCAAGTTCAATTCATAGAGAAGTGAGTTGGTTTTGGGCCGCAACATGTTTTGTAACGTTTTGTACATCTGTTATCTTTCTAGACATTACGTACATCTAGACTTTCAATATCTGCCAAGCCACTCTACGCCTACGCACCGTTATATTAAAACCACGGAGGGATACAAAACATACGACGTCTATTCAATTTGAAAGTGAATAGCCAATTCATATACTAAAATGACAGGGCATTGGCATTTCCTACATATGGTATGTTACGAAACGCGTTGAATAGTTGTCTAATTTCATACCGAAACATCAGGGGATTATATACAATTATAAGCTGGTTAATTGAGTCATAGTAAAAGAAATAAAATAAGCTGACAGTGTGCCGTAGAAAACCAATCATCTGTATAATTATGTGAATGTGATTAATTCAGCAGCCTAAACTATTTCACTAAGAAAACAAATATTAATCTCAGAGAGCAGTAGCGCCACGTGCATACATGAAAAAGACAATTTCTTTTATAATGTTACTAGAAAGTAGCGAGTGTATTGAACTCATCACATGCTTGAATGTTTCAGACATGGACTGAGAAATACGTAAAAAATCAGATATTTATAAAGTGTTATATTATGTGTACGTTAAAGTATGTTGTTACGGTGGGTCAATTAAAGCCTCGAAAGCAATACATCTAATTTACAAGCACTTGTACAAACATATAAACATAAAACAGAGTTTCAAAGTACAGTATTTGGGCCTCATCGTTGCAAACATAACAGATTGTCGGTAAACCTCACTTGGGCTTTATTTATTGTCATGTTTAATACAATACAACACCGCAATGCATTTTCCTGTTTGCGATAAGCTATGACGGAAATGCACGTATGGCTTGTAAATTAGGCAAAATCATGAATATAATTGTGCTGTGTGAACTTGATGTGTTTTCCGATAGAGAGATATGATTTACGTGCAAATTACCTTATGTCGCTATATTTAAATTTCATAAAATACGACACAGAAAATGGATCGTTGGAACAATTCAAAATCGAGTATTTTTGTAAAACA